TCACCTTTCTAGGTCATAAAGGAGCATTTCCCTTTTTCTTTGCAGACTTTACAAAATGGGAACAGGAATTAGACTGTTGACTTCCACAGAGAAAAGGGTTGTGGGCAGGAGATAATAACTGTTCCTTCTGTAACGTAGGTGGGACCCCAATGGACCCAAAGCAGGGGAAAAGAGACAAGCAGAGCTATCACGGAGTGACCTGTCCACTTCGTAGTGACACAGTGGTCAAATCAGACCTAGGGCTAGGGCTGCTTGCTCACCTATAAAGAGAGACGACCAAATATTCCTTTCCCAATCTGAGGCATTCTTGAGGCAATAAATGAAGTTTCTAATTAAATCATGGAAGTATTACTGGACTCAATTCTCAGAGCTCTGCTTTGGGGATGTACTGGCAGGAAACCTTCTCTATCTGTGAGGACATTTAGAAAACACAGGCGTCACACAGGCAGACTTCTTGCTATGTTTCCATCTCTTCCTGCCCTGGGAGCTGGAAGATGGAGCTCACATTTCAGCTCAAGGGATGTGGCATCCACAGGGCCCATGTGGCAGGTCCTGAGGTTTCTTAATCACCAAGTCTAGAAGGCATAAAACCAACCTTCGCAAACTACAGCACTGGAAAGAAGGTTCCCCTCTCTGATTTTCTCAGAAATCATCCTGGCAAGAGGATCCCTTCAGTCCTTATGCACAAGAAAATTCCCTCTCTGGCCCCACCTTATCACCCATGAATAATTCTCACTGTCCTCAAATATACAGAATAGACCATCCACATAGGGCCACCAACAACCTGCACGACTTTGAATGTTGAGAATGACAGTGGATGGGTGAGATTCCACCACCTACTTGGCAGCAGTTTTGGTCTCAGTACCTGAAGGCAGGTAGGGCTCAGAGTTGGCTCAAGGCCTTCCCTGGACCAGCTGCTACTTCCCCGTGTATAAGCCACTAAAATCTCTACGTTGATGCTCCAATATCCAGATGGTTTCTTCCTAGATCGGCTCACTGGACTCATGGCCTTCATTCAAAGCAAAGGCTTGGGTTCCCTTGATTTTTCTCTCCTTTCCAGGGTTCTAATATCCTTCAGGTCCAAATCAAGTACTTGTTCATCTTCTGATAATAATTAAAATTAACTAGAGGGACATTCAGAGTTGAGAAGTGTGGTAGCCAGACTCTGAGATGGCTCCCAAAGACCCTTACTACCTAGTATTCATGCCTTTGTGTAGTCCTTGACCAACGGTACCAAGGTGGGTCTGTGTGACCAACAGAATATGGAAGAAGTGATGGTGTGTCACTTCTGAAATCAGATGATAAAAGACATTGTGGCTTCATCTTGATTGTGTGCAACTAAGTGCTCTTGCTCTCTCTTGCTCTCTGTCTCTCTCTCTCTCTCTCTCACTGGGATCATTTGCTCTGGCACAAATCCACTGCTACGCTGTGAACAGTCCTGGAGAGAGGCCTCTCTGGTGTAGAGCAACTCTTACCAAGAGCCATCTAGTGAGTTTGCAACAATATCCTCCCACCTAGTCAAGCCTTCAGAAGTCAGCAACCCAGACAACAACTTGCCTGCAACCTCATCAGGGACCCTGAACACCAGAAATAACCAGTTAAGCTGACCTGGATTCCTGACCCTCAGAAATTGTGTGACAAAATAAACATCGGCTATTTTAAGCTGCAAAATTTTGGGGTACGTAATAACAGAAAACTAATACAAGAAAGAGGATGTTTCTGCTTTTCCTATGTAGCCTTGGAAAGTATAAGAAGTGCATTTCTGGTTGTGAGAACTACGTCATGCAGAGCAGTGTCTGCCTCAGCTTTCCCCACAGTGCTTCACACTGGGCCTTACACTGGTTAGGCAGTCAATAAATATGTGATGAAAGTCATACAATGAACAGACTTCTAATTCAGCTCACAAAAAAGAAAATGGCAAAAGGACCATTACGAGTCCCAGAAAACACCTAGTGCCTCACTTAAATTAGAACACCAATGGCCACATCAAAACACATTCTACCAGCCAGGCACTGAGGCTCACCCTGTAATCCCGGCACTTTGGAAGGCCAAGGTGGGAGGACCGTGTGATCCCAGGAGTTCGAGACCAGCCTGAGCAACAGAGCGAGACCCTGTCTCTACAAAAAATAAAAAATAAAAAAAATTGCTGTGTGCACCTGTAGTCTCGGCTTCTCAGGAGATTGAGCTGGGAGGATCACTTGAGCCCAGGAATTCCAGGCTGCAGTGATCTATGTTGGTGTGCCATGCACTCCATACTGGCTGACAGAGTGAGACCCTGTCTCTTAAAAAACAAGATAACAAAAACCCACACATTTTACCTGTAGTTTTGATAAAGATATAAATGTAAACTTATATTTGCTTAACTTTTTCTAAAACAATTGCACATGTATACAAGGAATCACATACAAAACATTTACATCAATGCTATTTGTAACAGCAAAAAAAATTACCACTGAAGAGCCATTAACAATAAACCCATAAAACCTGTAACATATTTAGAAGGTGAAGTGTGGGCACTAGGTATGTACAGTGGTATTGGGATGTCACTGCTCCCGGCCCTCCACGGACAGACAGGCAGTCTGTGTGCACACATACGCACACAGACACAGGCACACATCTCTATATATTTCTAGATTAATGTGTACTGAAAACCATGAGCCCACATTAAAACCTCCAATTCCCACTGCACACCAGAGTCCACTCAAATGTTCTTTCTTGCCATATCTGTACCTTCCTGATTTGATGGCAAAGCGCCCGGCTCCAGTCCCTTATTACACACTTACTTATCTGATCTGGCCCCCAGAGGTAGCTCCGCTCCCATTTCCACAATGATGCCCTCTCCCCATGGATGCTTTCCCCAGACTCCCTGGGCTCTGCCATTGCACACTAGGCCACCCTCTGCCAAGGGGAGCTCCTCACCCTGCTTAGGCTTTGACTCCCCGGGCTAGGCTGCCCCAACTCTCAGACTCACTCCTCTGCCACTTGGACTTGGACAGCCCACATGACGCCACCCCACTGTGTCCGTACCCTCCACATGCTGCTGGGCTCTGACACCCCTTCAGGCCATCCTCATGCATGATGCCACCAACATGCTCATGCTCTGACATGCCACACCAGGCTGCACCTGACCCCCAACGCAGCTGCACATCTCACCCCACTCTGGCTCCAACACCCTATCAACCATGAACACCTGCTCACCGCACTTGGGCTCCAACTGCCCCCAGTGAAGCACCCCCTCTCTGCAGGCCTTGCTCACCTGCTCTGACCCCGTCACCCCACACCAGATCTCCATATATGGACACTGGCCTCACCCACTTGGGCTCTGACACCCACATTGGGCTGCCTCGCGTGCACAAGTGTGGGCTCTGACTATGCTGGGATGTCATCCCGTGCAGATGCACTCCTCACCCTGCTTGGTCACTGACCCTGCACAGGGACACTCTCTTCACAGCAGGCAGCGCTGACAACTGGAGGTGCCACCTAGCACTGCCCCCACCTCATGGCTTCAGGGCTGAATTGTTCAGGAAGAGAAAGGAGAAGCTCTCATTTAACAGTTTTAAGAAATTAAGAGTTTTCAAAGAATATATGCAGTAGGAAATGTTCTAAATTGGGAACTTGTTTTTTAGAGACAGAGTCTTACTCTGTTGTCCAGGCTGGAGTGCAGTGACACAATCATAGCTTACTACATCCTAGACCTCCTGGGTTCAGGCGATCCTCCCACTTCACCCACTCTAGTATCTGGGACTATAGGTGGCCACCACTATCCTGGCTAATTTTTAAAAATTTTTATAGAGACAGGGTCTCACTATGTTGCCCAGGCTGGTCCTGTACTCCTGGCCTCAAGCAATCCTCCCACCTCGGCCTCCCAAAGTACTGGGATTATAGGTGTGAACCACTGTGATTGGCCAGTTGTTAATGTTTTTACCTTAAAGTGCACTGTACAAAAATATGAAAATACAGGCCAGGTGTGGTAGCTTATATCTGTAATCCTAGCACTTTGGGAGGTTGAGGTGGGAGGATGGCTTGAAGACCTTCAAGACCAGCCTGGAAAACATAGTGAGATATCGTTTCTACAAAAAAATTTTAAAATACACACACACACACACACACACACACACACACACACAAATATTAGCCAGGCTTGGTGGTGCCCAACTGTAGTCCCAGCTATTCAGGAGGCTGAGGCAGGAGGATGGCTTGACCCAGGAGTTTGAGGCTGCAGTGAGCTAGGATTGTGTCACTGCACTCCAACCTGGAGACAGAGCAAGACCCTGTCAAAGAAAGAAAAGAAAGAAAAGACAGAGAGAAAGAAAGAAAGAAAGAAAGAAAGAAGGAAGGAAGGAAGAAAAGAAAGAAAGAAAGAAAGAAAAGAAAGAAAGAAGAGAAGAAAAGGAAAAAGAAAATACAGATAAATGATAAAACAAAGTCACTTATAAAGTAACTACAGATGTTTGTTAACTGACTGCTATATTTATAGTCTTCTAACATTTTCTATATACACAAAAACTATATCCCTTTTTAAAAGGTGATGATTTCTAAGTGCAGTTTACTTAACATAGGTAATAAATAACTTTTTCTGTCATTTAATTTGCATTATCCTATGAGTTTCAATGGCTACAGTGTATTCTATTTCATGGTCTTACCATAATTCATTCGGCTATCCTCTTGCATCGCACATTTAGTATATTTCCAATTGTTCATTCTCAAACAAAGCTGTGAATTGCTAGCCAAAAGGGAATCAGTATTCTAAGGGCTTTTGATTCAGGATGCCAAATTCCTTCCAGAAAGAGTTACCTAGGCTAAAAAGGTGAGGCAACCAGCAGGGAGATTCATAAAATATATAGTGTGTAAGTGTTAGAAGCCTGATGGCCATGAGGGCCCCAAACCCCCTAAAAGGCTGCAAAGTGAGTCAGGGAGGAGCCACAGCCTCCCAAGCCCAGAGGGTCAGGCTGCAGACAGACCCAAGCTCTGGTCTCCCTGGGAAAGGTGGCTCCACTCACCTGTGCACAGGCCTTCAGGGGCTCTGGGGGCTTCTCATCCTGCTCTTCCATGCTCTCCTCCAGGCACAGCAGGGTGCTGAGGTCTTGAGCTGCACGGAGAGAAGCCCCAAGTACAGCATGAAGATGCAGGTCTGCCAGAACTGCTGGGCCCCCACCCCCATTAGTTCCTGCTCCCAGGATGGAGGATGTATTCCCATAGCAAATGCACTTCTGGAGGTTCCTGCCGGCTTCCTGCCCAAATACCTGTGTGTGTACTGAGAGTCCCTCAGTCCCTCTCCCAGGCCAAGTTTCTGCAGCTCCAACCTGGTTCCTCCACTATCTTGGGCCCCTGGACCATCTACCTGTAAGCCCAGCTTATGCCCAACATGGCCTTCTGCCCACCACCAAAGTCTGCAGCACCAGTCCGTCCCTCTCCTATCCCACTGGGCCCTGGGATCCCCACAAATATCAGGCATATCGAGGATCCCCTGGTATTCACCCCATCCTACCCCTACCAACCTCAATCTACAGCCCCAAACCAGCACTTCTTCCTAGGGCCAGAATCACACTCACTGCATGAAGCTGGTGACACAGCTCCACTGCTCCCAGGAACTGATTCAACAACTAAGACTGATCCTACCCTTCCTAAATCAGCCAGGCCTATCCCTCCAGCAACCCAGCACAGAGGGCCACCCACTTCCTGCTCAAACAGCCAAGCGTATATGCACAGAGCTCAGCTGTACTCACATCCTGTTCCCTCCACACTTCTGGGGTCCACTGGCTCCTACTCCAACAGCGCCAGCCAGATTCCCACCCCAACACCCTCCCAGGCCCTGAATTTGCAGCTCTAAACCAGTCCCTCCACCAACTTGGGTATACTCAGGCCTGAAACTGTAACAAGGCCTGCATAGGACTGGGGGCCTCCAACAGACACCAGCACAAGTCAGACAAAAGCAGCCCTACCTGCTACCTACAGCTCTAAATACATGTCTCAGAAGCTCAGGTGCCTCTGTACCAACTAGGTGTTTTGGGATCCAAGGCTAGAGCAGCCCCTGGCAAATCCTATCCTAGGCACCCCATCCCCTGCACCCCATGTCTCCTATTCTCTCTCCTGCTCCCACCACATTCTCACACAGCATAGTGTAGGTTCACATTGGAGCTGCTTCCTGAACTTGCACCCAAACTGTTTCCTCCACCTTACTCCACAGCCCCCAGCTTGAGCCACATCTGCCCAGATTCTGGCCAAACACCTTTCGGGGCACCTGTGGCTCAGGAAGATCCTGTCTTTCCACCAGCCTGGGCACCATCAGGCTGTGATCAGGGTTCCAGTCACGCAAAGATCCCAGCACCCTCTGTCTAAAACTCATCTCCGGCCTCCTGTTTTCCAACCAAACACCTGTGTGTGTGCACAAGGGGTGCCTGACACAGTCCCGCCCCTCTGCAGCTGCTTCCTCCACACACCTGGGCATCCTCAGGCAGAACCAGGGTCCTAGGACTGCCCATGCCTCCCCAATCTGCCTAAGTGCCAGCACACGTGCAGAGTGCTGCGAGAGCAGCCCCTTGCCTCCTAAGACCAGATTCAAACTGGAGCCCCTAGACCTCTATTCCGCAGCCACTGCACACGAGTCACCCACCTAGGCTCCCTCCTCCTACTGACACAGCCACAGAGCAGGCTCATGCTCACAATCTGCATGCGGGACCTGGCTCCTCTGCCAGCCTGGGGGCACACCCTGCTCCTGAGACAAGAATCTACATCCCTCACCCTGTGTCTCAACCTGCCCGGGACATCTCAGGCACCCACAGCCTCTGTGTGGGTTCGGGGGTCACCTGCCCCACTCTTTGCCTGCAGCCAGAACACTACAACAACTAAACAGTAGCTTGAGCATACAGCTCCACAGTCAGCCCCAGGACTTGGGCACTCGCCAGCGTGGGGGTTCTCAAGCCCATGATACAGCAGCTCAATGGGAACTGGGCCCTTTGGCCTTCTCTTGCCCAAACACGAGGGCCTGGGTGTCATGCAGTCAGCTCTTCCCAGCACCAAATCTGCAGCACAGACTCTGTCCCTCTACTAACCTGCACATTCTCATGCCTGCAAGTAGCATAGCCCAAGTAAAGGTCTCAGCAACACCTGCTTCATAACGATGCTGGCAACATACTGCTTCCTCCCCAGCTACCAATTTGACGGCAGCTGTTGCAGCTCTGTCCTTCCTGGACTCAAATTCTGTATCTCCAACCCGGAGTCTCCGCCCATCTTGAATGCCCTAGAGCTCTGCACCATCCTACATAGGTCCCTACTATCCGTTCAAGTTTCTGTTTTCTATTCAGACACCCCCAGGACATGCAGGGTGCCCTCTGCCCAGAACCTGTTTCTAGGCCCTGATACCCTCCTTCAGCCTGCAATTCCAACCTGGTCTCTCCACCAACCACAGCGCCCCCCAGACCTTGGAGAAGCGTGCTGTCTGCTCCAGGGGCCCAGGGTCACCTGCTCGGAATCTTACCTACCACCTTTTGCTTCCTACCCAAAGACCTGCTCAAGAATAAAGGGACAGTGGCACAGCCCTTCTTCTCCAGAAACTACAAACTGCAATGGAGTACTCCATCAACCCGGACATCCTCAGGCCTCCACTAAATATGCCCGGCATTAGAGGAGGGGAGTTCTCAAGATGTCCCCTTACATCAATTCATGTGCCCTGTGTTCCAGCCACCTGGGCATCCTCAGGCCCGACAAGAGCACCACCTGACCAAGCACCCGCGCATGCACGCAGAGGACAGTCGCGGAATACACAGCTGCCTCGGTAACTCCATCAACCCCAGTGACCCCAGGCTAAAGCGCCACCCGCACAGATACCAGGTCTCCCCGCTACACCCACCACCTCTTCCAGCTTCCCGCCTAGACCCTGCGCATGCGCGCATCGGACACCAAGCGCTGCCCCACGCCCCACCAACCTGGGCGTCCGCTGGCCCGCAGCCCAGGCCGGGCCTGTCACCGCCTCAGTGCCTGGCACGGCTCTGCGGCAGGACGAACTCGGGCTAAGCAACCCCCTGCCCCGATTCTGCCACACGGTCGACTCGCGTTAAGCTAGTTCGGTCCCCTCCCCTAGTCAGCATCCGCAAGGTCGCTGGGGGTTAACTCTGAAGGGCCGAGCTGCTCGGCGACAGCAAGCGTCCGCGCGCGGGACAATGGCTGCGCTTGTGGCCGAACCCGGAAGTGCACTGAGGCTCGGCGAGCCAGAACTACAATTCCCAGAAGCCTCCGCGGCGCGGGCGGTGGGTGGGCGGGGTTCCGGCTCCTCCAAGGAAGTAGGGCAGCGGACCCGGTGAGAAGCTGAGCGGGCGTAGGCGTCCGGTGCCTGGCGGGTTGCAGCGCCTGTGCTTGTGCAGGTAGGTCTAGGGGAGCACTAAGACCAGCCACGGGACCGGGAGGCCGAGGCCAGTGCATCGACGCGTAGGGAGTCGCTGTGGCGTGACGTCAGAACGAATAGAAAAGGCGGGGACCCTTCCTGGGTGCCCCTGCCTGTCAGACGCTGCGCGCGACCCACTGTCTCCTCCAGTCCTGGGGGAAACTTGTGAGACAGTTGCTACGTCCCCATTTTACAGTAGAGGGAGCGTCTACCGAACCCTTCAGGAATCTATGTTTTTACATTTAATAATAGTAAAATATAAAGAATCATTTTATTTTTAAATTTTGAGTTCTTTCTTTGCCTATAAGGCCTGAAGGATCTGTTCCCCCACCTCTCCCCTTTTCTCTGTTTTTTTTGTTTGTTTTTGTTTTTTGTTTTTGTTTTGAGAGGGAATTTCGCTCTTGTCGCCCAGGCTGGAGTGTAATAGCGCGATCTCGGCTCACAGCAACCTTCACCTCCCGGATTCAAACGATTCTCCTGCCTCAGCCTCCTGAGTAGCTGGGATTACAGGCGCCCGCTACGACGCCCAGTTAATTTTTGTAGTTTTAGTAGAGACAGGTTTTCACCACGTTGGCCAGGTTGGTCTCCAACTCCTGACCTCAGGTGATCCGCCCGCCTCGGCCTCCCAAAGTGCTGGGATTACAGGCATGAGCCACCGCGCCTGGCCCCCTTTTCTTTTTGCCCTCATTTCTTGCCCATTTGCTTTGCACATTTTCCCCATTCTCCAACAGATCCAGCAGACTCCAGGCCCTGGGCGTTTGCATGTGCTGTTTGCACTCCCTGGCAGGCTGTCCTCAGGGATTCATTTGGTTCTCACCGCCTGCTCATTAGGGGAACATCATCTTCTCATTAGGGATTGCCCCACCACCCGTTGTGAACTTGCAAGCAAACCCTTCCCTCCCCACATGCTCCCTGCCTCCTCCTTCATCTTTTATTTTTTTTCTCTAAAGAACTTCTCACTATCTAGCACACTATATATTTTAAGTATTTATTTGGTCTACTGTCTGCCTTCACCACTACAATGTCAATTCCATAAGGAAAAGCATTTGTATCGATGTTGATCACTGCTGCATCACCAACACCTAAAAAAAAAAAAAAAGAGAGACCTTGCACATAATAGATGCTCAATAAATATTTGTTGACTAAATAAAGGTTCCTGTCTCTGTATTAAACACTTTGATAGTGTTTAATACAGTTGTGTTAATTTTCATCCTACCAGGGAGGTAGCTGAAAATTGGAGCCCTGCTGTATGAAAATACATAATTTTTTAGTTTTTTAAAAATACTTGTCAAAGCATTCCTATAGTTTTCTTCACGTAAATTCTGACCTTTAACAACAACGAATTATTACTATTTGAAATGTAATCTATTCCCAAAGCTGTTTTGTTTTGTTTTGTTTTTGAGACGGAGTCTCGCTCTGACCCCCAGGCTGGAGTGCAGTGGCGTGATCTCGGCTCACTGCAAGCTCCGCCTCCCGGGTTCACGCCATTCTCCTGCCTCAGCCTCCCCAGTAGCTGGGGCTACAGGTGCCCGACACCACATCCGGCTAATTATTATTTTTTAATTTTATTTTATTTTTGTATTTTTAGTAGAGACGGGGTTTCACCGTGTTAGCCAGGATGGTCTCGATCTCCTGACCTCGTGATCCGCCCGTCTCGGCCTCCCAAAGTGCTGTGATTACAGGCGTGAGCCACTGCGCCCGGCCCCAAGTTTCTTATTATTAGTTATTGTGGTTGATCTTTTTAAAAATACTTATTTTGTATCTGGTTAACCTACTGCAATGTTACTAATTCTTATAATACTCCAGTTGTCTTGGCTTTTCTATTGAGACAGTTATCTACAATTTCATTTTTTCCTTACCAGTATTTTAAATTAGACTTTCTCTTTCATGTTGGGTTATATTGGCTACCATTTCCAAAACAGTATTACTAAAAGAGGCATTCTTGTTTGTGTTCTTTTAATGGGCATATCTCCAAGGTTTGAGGGTTAAATGTGACGTTGGTTTCTAAATTGAAGTAAGTAGCTTGTTTTTTTTAACCTTTTATTTTGTATATTTCAAAACAAAAGTAGGGACTCAATGAATGACCCCCCCATGACCTATGTCATCCAACTTAAATATTTTCACTCAGTCTTGTTTCATCTGTATTTCCACCTATACTGTGCTTTCCACTCTCTTCATCTCCCAGTGATTTTGAAGCAAATTCTACATATTATTTTGTCTATGAAATGCTACATATCAGCTTATGTCTAACAAGAACTGGTTTTAAAAAGAAAACTTCAATACAAAATAGATATATGTTATAACTACTGGGTACAAACAATACAAAATTATTACCAGATGTTATTAGCAGAAGACCCGAGAGAGTTAACTAAAAGCAATTAACATCGAGGAGAGTTTAAAAGTAATTAAATGTGATACAAGTAATAATAAACATTTATGTTACACTCTATGCTAATAATAATAAACCTTTATGTGAAACTCAGTGCTAAGCAGTCTTGTAAGATCCATATTTTATATACAGTATATTAAATATATAATATGTATTGCATATATACATATAACATATATTACATATAATACATATTATATATTTAATATATTATATATAGCATATATTATATATTTTTTCTCATTTAGTCCTCACTACAACTCTTGTGAAATGAGACTGTTATTTACATTTTACAGAAGACAAAACTGAAGCCTAGAGATAAGTAACTTACCCTAGACTCTATTAGGATAGAGTTGGCATTTGAGACCAAGAAGTTGAACTCTAGAGTCCATGCTCTTAACTTTTACATTATGTTGCCCCTTGTCTACACGTCAATATCTTTCCTCTACAAGCAAGGAATACTAAGTTTGCAAACAGGACAGAAAAAGTTCACATGTATTCACAAAAAAGCAAAAAAAAAAAAAAAGCCTTATAAATAAATTTAGTAAGATAAATATAGGTCATCTGAAGAAACCCTCAAAACCTTACTGAAAGAGAAAATGGACAAATAGAAATGCCGTGTTGCTAGCTGTGTTGTAAAGATGTAAAATCTTGCAGATTGATCTGCAAATACAAATATGACAAAATCAGAATAGGATGCTTTGAGTGTTAGCTCATCTTCCTTTTCTCACTTCACTTATTTTTCTAATTGTTTAAGATATTCAGAAAATAGGCCAGGCGCAGTGGCTCACACCTGTAATCCCAGTACTTTGGGAGGCTAAGGCGGACCAATCATGAGGTCAAGAGTTTGAGACCAGTCTGTCCAACATGGCGAAACCCTGTGTCTACTTAAAAAATACAAAAATTAGACAGGCACGGTGATGCATGCCTGTAATCCCAGCTACTCAGGAGTCTGAGACAGAAGAATCGCTTGAACCTGGGAGGCAGAGGCTGCAATGAGCCAAGATTGCACCACTGCACTCTATCCTGGGCAACTGAGCAAGACTCTGTCTCAAAAAAAAAAAAAAAAAATTCAGAAAATAGAGCATTAGTACTATAAAATGTAAAACTGACTTTGTTTATCTGTCTTTTGTTTAGTCTTTTTTATTTTCTTTCAAAATGAACAAAGTGGTAGTGTTTACTTCCAGGAACCTATAAATCCTAACTTAACCTAAATATTACAGGACTTTAGAAGAATTACCACTGCTGGCCGCAGTGGCTCATGCCTGTAATCCCAGCACTTTGGGAAGCCGGAGCAGGAGAATCACTTGAGCCCAGGAGTTTGAGACCAGCCTGGGCAACATGGCAAAACCCCATCTCTACAAAAAAATACAAAAATTAGCCAAGCCTGGTGGCACAAGCCTGTAGTCCCAGCTATTCAGGAGGCTGAGGTCGGAAGGATTGCTTGAGCCAAGGAGGCAGAGGTTGCAGTGAACCAAGATCACGCTACTACACTCCCGCCTCAGTGACAGAGCCAGACCCTGTCTCAAAATAAATAAATAAATGAATAAATAAATAAAAATTTTAAAAAAAGAGTTACCACTCAGGAACATTCTAGAAAGAATTCTAGAACGATGCCCATCTAATCTAGAGATTTATCTATCAACTGTCTGGGGAAGAGCTGACACCAAAGTTCCATATTAAGGTTCTGTTTATTGGCCAGGAATTGGGTAAGGGCTCAACATACAATGAAGAGCAAGAAGATTATGAATCCATTTACTATAAATAATAGAAAACAAAAGTAAGAGTTACTAGAGGGTAGAAGGGCATGATCTGTCTCTAGGATGTCGGGGGAGGGGGACATTTCTTGGCAGGGAAGAGGAAAGTTCCCAGGGTTGAAATAGGGTGGTGTTTCTGGCACTACTAAGTGCAACCCTTAGGATCCTAACTCCGGTCTCCTGTATCACATCTAATGATATAATTTTTTAAATCTGAATTAATGTTATCATCATCATGATAGCCATTCAGCTCCAAGAATAGCAACAACCCATTCTGAAAACTCTTTCTTCATTTCCAGGAGTTTTCAGTATTGGTTTCCCCCCTGTGTTAACAGTCCCTTTCTGTCTCCTTTGCTTGATGTCTCCTGTAAACATCGGAGGGACCCAGGAATCAACTGTCAGCCTGTCCCTTGCCTTGTCTTCATCTACTCTGCTTGGGGTTGACATACAGGTCTATTGCTCAAACCCTGTAAGTTCCCAAGAAAGTCCTGTTTTCCTGACTAGCCTTTGGGCAGCTCTGGGAACTGAGCTCTCATAATGTTCTGTCTGGTAAGAGGGCTTTTGTTTGCCTGAGGCCTTGAGCCATGCTGTACCAGTTTGTCCAGATGGTTTATACTAACAGTGTGATTTATGGAGGAACATCTGGAGTCTGGAGCATCAGTGACTGACCCTTTACAAAAACCATGGACACCCAGGTTTAGGTGAGT